TGCATTAAAAGAAATAAACATGTGATCAGACTGGGGAAACAATGTGTCTTTACAATGTGAAGGGGTAATACCACAACAACAGAGCAAATCCAAGATATGTCCTTTAGAATGAGTAGAAAACTTTATGTATTGTAGAAGCCCAAAACTTTCCAGGCAGGGGGTAAAATCTCTGGAAAGAGGGATTTTGTCACTGTCCATATGAATATTGAAGTCACCAACAATTATCAGATTTAGAGAAAGTATAGAGAAATGAGTGAGTAGAGCAGCAAATTCATTTAAAAACTCCTTATTTGGCTTAGGTGGCCGATATACATATACTGGTGGGGATAGATCCAGGGAGCTGTAATGCAATGTTTTCAAATGAATGGGAGAGAGGGGCAGAGACAGGGAGAACTTTCCAGTGCTTCCGGTGAATTATCGCGAGACCCACGCCCCTCCCCGAGTTGCGAGGTTGACAGGTATAAACAAACTCAGATGGAATGGAGTTATTGAGAGAAACAAAATCATTGGGCTGTTGCCACGTTTCAGTCAGGCAAAGAAAATCCAACTTACGATCGGAGATCCTGGATGAGATGTCCCTTACCAGTGAGGGAGCGGATGTTTAATAGACTGAAGTTGATACTGGAGTTACCTTTCCTGACAGGCTGTTGTGACTGATACACAGTCACAACAGCCTGGCATCTCCTCCTCATGCTGGTTACCAGCTTGGTCACACACTGGTGTGGGTTGGCATCCCATTTTTCAACCAGCATTTGTCACAAGTCATTGAAAGTGATTGTGCTGGTCACTGTGAAACAAACAACACTCACGCTGATTCCACAAGTGCACAATGAGGTTTTAGTCAGAACTGCATGTGTGACATTCCATCCACTCCACTCCTAAATTATGGGTGTAATCTGTAGTATCTAGCTCCGTGGGTTGGGAATGTATCCTCTTGATTGTGGTTGGGTATTCTGTTTCCTCTGGCACTCCTCACTGTGTTGACTCAGATAAGCACTTGAAAAATCCGAAATAGTCTCATCATTTACTTTGTTAAAACAATGTATTCTGTTAATAGTCATTACAGTTAACGTAGGTAAGTACATCAAGTCAAGCAAATGTACTTTAGTAGTAGTTTAACTAATTTACCATTTAACTAAAGTACATACAGTTTGAACACTCACCAATAGCCAAGAGCCTTCACAGTGACACTAAAAGCGAAGTGGAGATTGGTAACTACATTCTAATGGGGAAATATCAGATCAGGTCTGTAACATCAAAATCTATGCTTTAACCTTAAAGCTATTTCATTCTCACCACACAGGGATATCATTTAGCATATTTATTTCTAAACAAACAAACATACATTCAGCCTAATGGTATAGTATTAAAAAAATACGATTATTCTTTACATGTTTATATAAAACAGGTAATACTTGTGCCGCTTCAGATACAAAAAATTGGCACCTATAAATTTAAACATCAAATACTTGCATATATTTCAGTTTTTCAAACAGGGGGAATTTCATCTCAGGTGCCCATAATACCTACACCAACAAGTAAAATGACTGAAATAGGGACATAATTAGGAAGAGAGAGATTCGAGAATTCAGGTTAAATGAATGGCTACTTTGACCTTGAGCCACTGCTAATAGCTAAAGTGTAGCTTTTAATCATTGTCACATGTTCCGATGCATTTAAGAACTGGCTGAACATAACTGTACCAGCCTGATTAAATCTGCTTCAAAGTGAGTATACCCCTAAAGTAAAATGTCCAAATTGTGCCCAGTTTGTCATTTCCCTTCCAGGAGTCATGTGACACGTTAGTTTTACAAGGTCTCAGGTACAGATAAAGAACAGGTGTGTTGAATTTGATGTTATTGCTCTCACACTCTCTCACTGGTCACTGGAAGTTTATCATGCCACATCATAGGAAAGTATTCTCTGAGGATCTGATAAAAAGAATCGTTATTGTACATAAAGATAGCCTAAGCTATAAGAAAATTGCCAACACCATGAAAATGAGCTGCAGCATGGTGGTCAAGACCATACAGCAGTTTAACAGCACAGGTTCCAGTCAGAACCTAACATAACTTCGCCATGGTTGACCAAAGAAGTTGAGTGCACATGCTTCGCATCATAGAGGTTGTCTTTTGAAAATAGATGTATGATTGCTGCCAGCATTGCTGCAGAGGTTGGAGGTGTGAAGGGTCAGCCTGTCAGTGCTCAGACCATACGCTCCGCACAATGCATCAAACGGCTGTCGTCCCAGAAGGAAGCCTCTTCTAAAGATAATGCACAAGAAAGCCCGCAAACATTTTGCTAAAGACAAGCAGACTAAGGACATGTATTACCTGTGGTCTGATGAGACCAAGATAAACTTATTTGGTTCAGATGGTGTCAAGGGTGTGTGGCGGCATCCAGGTGAGGAGTACAAAGGCAAGTGTGTCTTGCCTACAGTCAAGCATGGTGGTGGAATGTCATTGTTTGGGGCTGCAGTAACTAGCATCTTATGCTTTCCCCCTTATGGTTTCTAGCAAGGATGAGCAGTTGGGTGTTGGGGAAAGCCATGTTCATTAGCTAATCGGTACAAATAAATGATTTTTGACTACAGAACTCACTATGAGCTTGAATGCTGATTAAAGTCAGTTCTGTAGTTCAAACATTAGCTCTACTGCTAATGTCTGAACATTAGCAGTAGAGCTCCACGACTGGAGAACTGGACAGGTCTTTCGGGAACTGTATTAAACTGGTTCAAAACATACTTAGAAAACAGGAAATACTTTGTATCAATAGGTAACTTCACATCTGAGCAGACAAGTATCAGATGTGGAGTTCCCCAAGGTTCCATCTTGGGACCCTTTCTGTTTAACATTTACATGCTCCCATTGGCACAGATTATAAAGAACAACAAAATAAACTATCATAGCTATGCAGATGACACACAAATATATGTCACAATGTCACCAGGAGACCAAGGCCCTGTACAGGCTCTTGGTAAATGCATTGAGGAAATTAATGACTGGTTGTGCCACAATTTTCTCCAGCTAAACAAAAACAAAACTGAGGTAATAGTCTTTGGTGCCAAAGAAAAACGATTACAGGTCACCAGAGAACTTCAATCTATACACCTAAAAACCACAAACCAGGTGAGAAATTTGGGTGTAGTGATGGATGCAGACCTAAACTTAGAAAAACACATTAAGACAATAACAAAGTCAGCTTACTATTACCTCAAGAATATTTCAAGGATAAAAGATCTGATGTCTCAACAGGACCTGGAAAAACTAGTCCATGCATTCATCTTTAGTAGGCTTGATTACTGTAACAGCAATGTCCAAGCATGGCGCAGTTTAAAAAGCGGTTTAAGGATATGGTTTTTACAGGGTACAGGGAAAGGTAGAGATTTGATAGGGTGTTCTTATCTAATATTTTCATGTGTGTGCGGGTGCACGGGTATGTTGGTATGGGTATATATATATTTTTGTAGGTTGTGTATCCTTGAGGTGAAAATGTGTATATGTGCGTATGTGTATATACGTATGTATGGATAGACAGAAACATATATGTATATATTAAAAAAAAAAAAAAAAAATTTACACATGACATATAATGTAATTGCAAGGAGGTATTTTTGTAGTCTATATACTATATAGTGGAAAAGGGGTGGGATTAAATAAGCTTATGCTTCTTCCTGCTCCTTTTTGAACATGAACTTTATTTGGAGTTGTGGTTGCTCGTTTTCCTTTTGTTTTGCTTTGTTCATTTGTCTCTTTTAATTCTATTTTGTTGTACTTTTTCAACATGTTCAAAATAAAGATTCAATCAATCAATCAATCAATCTTTACAGGTCTACCTAAAAAAATCAGTCAGACAACTACAGCTCATTCAGAACTCTGCTGCTCGAGTCCTCACTAAGACCAAAAAAGTGGACCACATCAGTCCAGCTCTGAGGTCTTTACACTGGGTGCCTGTCCGTCAGAGGATAGACTTTAAAGTTCTGATGCTGGTCTATAAAGCTCTGAATGGTTTAGGACCAAAATACATCAGTGACCTCCTGACCCAGTATGAACCTTCCAGACCCCTCAGGTCATCTGGATCCGGTTTTTTATCAGTTCCCAGAGTCAGAACCAGACACGGGGAAGCTGCATTCAGCTTTTATGCTCCTTATATCTGGAACAAACTCCCAGAAAGCCTCAGATCAGCTGAAACACTCAGTTTATTTAAATCCAGGTTGAAGACTCACCTGTTCTCAGCTGCATTTGAATAAAGCACCAAATCCACACTTTTAAGCTTAAATTTCAAAACTTACATTTAACTACTGATTTTATCTACTGTTCTGATTTTATGTTTTGATTTTATATACTGTTTTGTTTGTTTGTAAATTAGTTAGTTTGTTTGTTTGCTTGTTTTAATCAGTTTTAAATCATGCTTTTTATTTGTTTTTGTTTCTAATGTCTCTGTAAAGCACTTTGAATCACCTTGTTGTTGAATTGTGCTATACAAAAAAACTTGCCTTGCCTTGCCTTACTTCTCTAACTGCATTGAACTGAACTGAAGGATGTTTAGACCTGCAGCTGAAGATGAGGCACTGAAATGGTTTATTATGAGAAACACGGAAAGGTCACTAGGCTAATCGGTCACTAACTAACATTTCCTTATGTTAAACCCAAATAATTGTTTCAATTTAATAATTATATAGACTATCTCAGGGGTCCCCTATTAAAATAGCTGGAGGTCCACTACTTCCGCCATCCAATCAATCTGGGGTCCAAACATTTTAAATGAACCGACAAAAATATTTTTGTTCATTTCTGCTTAACATTTAATTAATAATATAGACATTTGTCTTGTAACTACTGATCAATTATTCATATGCCAATTAAATCATTTGCTGAACAGAAAAGAAGAGACCATGTACTATTTAACACTACTGGCTTGGAAGGAACTCTAAATATAACCAGAGCAAAGCATGGGAAGAATGACAATAAGAACAATAAAATGTAAGTAGAGGAAAGAAATTACAATGAAATTGTGGAAAATTTAGTACAGATTCAAGAGAAATTAAATTTTCTGTTACAGTACACTTAAACTTAGGTGTCAGAAGGATGAAAATTTCCATAACACATTTGGGAGCTTTGAATCTTACTAAGACGATCAAGTAAAGAAGTACAGTTGTAGCTGATCAATTTGGATAAACTCCAACACCACAAACACTGAGAGAAGGTTGTGAGACTTAAATTAGCATAGGTATCATTAGAGGCCAAATACAATTTTTATTCCAGTGTGTGCTTTTTAATACTGCAAGGATTTTTAGACATGCGAGCCAAAAGTACTGACGCATTTTGGAGCCAGCTTCGTGTAGCTATTTAAGGAATGTTTGGAACCTTTCTTTGGCCTGAGGGTTGCTGCTTGATCACACCTTATATTGCCTCAATCCCCAGTGTATTTGATCTTCTATTTCCTGTAGCGCCACCTTTTTAAAAAATTATTTATAGCTACAAACAAGACCTACCACAAATCGTTTTACTTCCTTAACACAAATGAATAAGCCATGGCTTTAGTGTAATGTTACCAAAGCAGTGACTCATTTTCTGCTCAAACCTGCCAGTTTCCCTGTGGTATTAACATTAAGTAGAGTCTTGAAGCGAAATGTGTTAAAGCTCTTCTTTCTTCTTCAAGATTATTTGCCGCACCATTTCAGCAATTTTAGGGCGAATTTCTTTGACAGAGACTTTTGGTCCCCATGCATCCACCACTTTGCCGTTAACGTCAATTAGATACTTCCAGAAATTCCAGTCAGGCTCCTTTCCAGATGCCTCTGTAAAAGATTAAATGACATAGATGTATGAATAACAGGTTCGTGTAAGCTTGTAACCTTTTAAAAAAACATTATTTGTTTTAAGTTTTGCTTCAAAGGTTTCTATTTTTCCCCTCTCTTTTTTCTACACCGCACACGACTGCTCTCTCATACCCCCCCCCCCCCCCAAAAGAGGCAGTTACTCACCAAGAAGGTACTTGTAGACATTGTTGGCTCCAGTGCCAACAACAGCAATTTTGCTGAACAGAGGAAAGGAGACTCCGTAGACTCTGCGCACAAAGCTGTCAATCTCCTTGTCACTGCCAGGCTCCTGCTGTCCAAATTGGTTACAGGGGAAGGCTAGCACATTGAAGTGATATGGACCAAAGTCCCGCTGGAGCTGCTGCAGTTGATTGTAGTGTTCCTCAGTGAAGCCACATTCACTAGCTACGTTTACCACCAGGGAAACCTAAAGCCACCAGAAAACACTGTAAAAACACCACAAAAGCTTTCCTAGCTTAATATGTGTCAGTATATATGTTTCTTTAAACATGCATAATTAAATGAACTACTTGCAGTTTTATTTGCATGTAGTTCACATAAAGTTGGCAACCACTGGATTGAATCACCCCACTGTACAGTATATGTTGGATCTATAAAGCTATATGTGTTAGTTAAAGGTTGCCATTGACCAATTTTACAAGGCTGCTGAGGATGACACATTCAGTGAAGAGGCCACCTGCTATAACTGAAACAGATATGGATATTTTTTCATTAATTTATGTTAAATAACGGTTACTTTCACTGAGACCATATCTGATGTAAAATTGTTTGTTTAGTTGTCTCTTTTTAGACTATTTTTGTCTTTATTGCACTGTGACAGTGAAGATGGACAGCAAAGTGGAGAAGGCACTAGGGCTGGGCGATATGACCCAAAATTCATATCTTGATATTTTTTAGCTGGATGGCGATATACGATATATATCTCGATATTTTTTTAAGCCATAAGGTAAGAAGAAAAAGAGAGTTCTTAGTCAAAGCTGTGTCCCAGATGTCACACAGGCACTTTTATTAACATACAGCGTAGATGTACATGAAGAAATTACTCAAAAATAACTTATCAGCATTTATTATATAATAATGCTCCATAAATAAAAGAAAACAATGATGTTTTTGTGCATAACAAAAAGTTCACAATTGTGCAGTCAAAATGTAAACTAAAAGACGCTGAGCATAACAAAGACAGATTTCACAGCTGCTCTTTTCCCAAGTTGTACTGCGTGACTGACAGCCTGGAGTTTGAAATCTGCTTTGTAACCGTGTCTCTTAACAGGTGCCATTTATGGTGCTTATACACACACAATACGGTAATATTACGTTGAAGCACAGTACGTATCACTCCGCGAGGCTCCGGAATACGGTAGCCTACTGCTCCGACAATCCATCAAGCGGTGCAGCTCCGTAGCTTTCCAAAGTGGAACTAAAACATTTCTTGACAGATTGCTGAGCGCCGTGTACCACATAAAATCGGTTCGCGGTCAGTAGGCACAACCAGAATTCTTACATACAGAAAATGAAAGGATTTTAGGCCATGCATGTCGTTAGCGCGGTTAGCTTGCTAACACGTTGACGCCGTCCAGCCTCACACACGGGGCGATCCGCGGTAACTCGTTAACGGAGATTTGCCATGTCCAGCTTGCCGTTGCCTGCAGGTGAAGCGATGGGGGAGGGGGAGTTGTGTTCAGTGAAGGAGAGGCGAGGCCCAGTAACGTTGCAGAGAGACAAAAGTGGACGAAAGAAAGGCAAACTTGCGACTCCACGAGTATAATTATAACATAACATATATTATATCGATATAAACGATATTGTCACATCTTATATCTCGTACGAAAATATATCGATTTTTTTTTTTTAAACTTGATATATCGCCCAGTCCTAGAAGGCTCACAGGCCAGACAAAGACTCCCCAGCCACAGCCCTAAAACATGACTGATCTAGAGCAGTGGACCCCAACCCTTGGGCCACGGACCAGTACCGGACCATGAGTCGTTTGGTTCCGGACTTGAGGCTTGGGTGTGAAATTTTTTTATGGTTTTTTTTGGTCTTTATCATTGTTTTTTATTGTTTTTATTGTTAACTCTGTTTCCCTGGGTGTTTTCCCGTGTGTTAAGAATTAATATATTTTTTTTTTTGGTACTGCTACTGGTTTTATTTTGTTGTATTTATCCACGACATCTTGCAGTCCGTGAAAATATTGTCGGACATAAACCATCCCGCAAAAAAGGTTGGGGACTGCTGCTCTAGAGGAGATCTGCACGGAGGAATAAGCCACAATAGCAGCAACAGTGTGTGAAAACCTTGAAGACTTGCAGAAAACATTTGGCCTCTGTCATTGCAAACAAAGGGTATGTAACAAAGTATTGAGATGAACTTTTATTATTGACCAAATACTTATTTTCCACCACAATCTGCAAAGAAATTCTTTAAAAATCAGACAATGTGATTTTCTGGATATTTTTTTCTCATTTTGTCTGTCATAGTTGAGGTATATCTATGATGAAAATTACAGGCCTCTGTCATCTTTTATATATATATATATATACACACACACACACACACACACATATTGCCCCACTGTGTACAGACAGACAGACAGGCTCCTTCTTCAAAAAAAGCAAAAGTGAAGTCTGGCCGTCCCACTGATTGACTAATTATTTGAACCACAGATAACTGTGATTTAGGCCTTTACATGTTACAGACGCCATTCACAGATACAGAGACTAATAAGTATCCTAATACACATTAATACATGTCACAGCTTCATACTTTAACTCGCAGTTAAACTACAGAAGATCATCACTGCAGAAGTATGGCTTCCTGAGAAAGCAGTGTGTAATCTTATCATCTAGTGACATCTGGTGTCAAGATAATACAATTGCAAGTCTGACATATATGACATGGGATACTGAAAATATCCACATCTCTAATAAATTAAGCTCTTTATGTGTCTGGTACCATATCTCAAAGACAGTTAATATGATTAACTTCAAACTTAGTGGGTGTAATGCTGAGAAGGTAGCGTATGGGGTCATTGGATGACTCCCATTTTTTGAATTAAAGTTACTGGTAGGGCTGCTGTTTTGGCAGTCCTTGATGCCTTTTATACAGTGGCCCTGAGAGGTCAAGAAAACACCAGCAAATAGAAATGCACCCCAAAATCACACAAAGCACAACTCTAGTTAAAATAAAACAAAACAAACAAAAAACTCGAACAAAATACAAGAAACCACAGTTACACTACAGTATGATCAAGGACTATAATCAGCATGCTGGAATCTGCGACAGTGGAGTGGGAGTTCATCCACAGAATGTGGATCTCACTGATGAAGCAGCTGGTGTTGATTTATTAGTCACAAAGTACAAAGTCACAAAGTGCCGATATCTTATTTTTATAACTTAATAATAATGTGTGACACACATGCATATAGAATGAGAAGAGGGTGTGAAAAGAGTGAGGTGAGGTGAGGTAGGATGGAGGAGGGGAGACGGAAAACACAATAACCCATTAAATGAGAGTGACTCTGTTCGACTGTTTTCAACTATGGGATGTGCACAAGGACATCAAGGGAAAATGGTTCAAGCAAGTCCTTGACATTATACTGCTGCAGATGTTATGTAGAAGTGCTTACCCTAATTATTAGGGTTATTTTTCTAATATTGGATGGTCTTTGCCTTGTAATATAAAGTGTCTTGAGGTGGCTTTTGTTGTGATTTAACACTATAAATACAACTGAACTGAAACTGAATATAACATTTTGAAGTGAGATGCAGTGAATAACTATCATGCTGTGCTACTGTTGTCTTCAACTGGTTCAAAGATCATCCATTTTTTGGACTCACTGAAAAAGAATGCAGGTTTTAAAGCATTTCCCACTGACTTCACTTTTTAGACTATAGCTTTGCTTGTCTTTGGTATCCAGTACGTATTACTGAACATCTTTGAATGTCAGTGTGTGAGCAAGTGTCTTATCTTAATGGTTGTTTGTCTAATCTACAAGGCAGCACAGCAGGTCCAGCAAAGTTCTCATGTGTAATGGAACACCAGTTTTCAGTCTTGCTTTTACATTTAATTATTCCTTGCTGACATGAAATGTAAATTGGAACTTTACGTACACTCAACCCATTTAGGCACTGTACTAGTTACAGTAACTCTTCCTTAAAAAGTGCACCGCTACAGCTCTGTGGTGTACAAACTGTGTTCATTCACCTGTAGTGTGTGAAAGATTTATAGTTTAATTTGTCTGTTTGTGTTTATGGTTAAAACAAAATCCAGAGAGTCTTTCACCTTATTACAAAAAGGATATCTTTTTGAAAGATACCGTCTATAACAGGGGTCACCAACACGGTGCCCGCGGGCACCAGGTCGCCCGCAAGTACCACATGAGTCGCCCGCGGGCCTGTTCTAAAAATAGCTCACCATAACAACTTACCAGTAAGCTGCATCTATTTTTATTTTTTCTTGCTATTTTTTTTTATCACAATTGCATTGGTGTTAATTTGTTAGAGATAATATATAAAAAAAAAGGGCAGCACACTGCGAGCGGAAAAGGCCCGCGAATTAAAGGCAGGTTTGAGCAAACAGCAGTCTTTTTTCACGAGACCGGTGAAAAACTCTCAAAAAGCAACCGAAGCCTCATTTTGAGCTACACATTTCATGATTAAGAAAAAGAAGGCATTTTTAGACGGGGAGGTTTTCAAAGAAGCAATGATGATAATTGCAAAAACTGTGCTTAAAGATGAGAAATATGGAAACGATGTAATCTCCACTCTCTCTGATGTCCAGCTGGGGGCAACTACAATTGTTAGAAGAGTGTCGGCTATGTCCGGGAACTTGGCC